CTTTCGTTCACACTATCTGAGTTCAAGATCCACGACGAGGTTACTACTGAAGATTGCTATGCAATCATGTCATATCTCTGGCCATTAGCGTGATTTCGTATCCAAGTAAGCAGCGAGTACAATGAACATTGGAATATTCTGCGTGAGTCATTGCGGGGTCTAATACACTCTGGCCCGGACCAGGATTACAATATATGTTGATGCTCTCATACTTGCGATCTATGTAATTCATAGTAAGAAGGGTGCGACAGAAAAAGGACAAGGAATACCTGTGATTTTAATAGAACTCGATAGAAATATAGATCAACAGACGCGTTCGACCACCACGAAGATAACGCCTCTCTTAGCTCATTTGAAGCTCCAACGTACAGCGTCGCCTCATCAATTCGGAAGCTTGGGAATTCAAAATAAAATTGGTTGATAATTTACTCATAATATATAGTTGTAGGAAGGAAAAGGAAAGTCCAACACCACCATCATCGTTTGTAGACACGAGCACTTATCGACTGGAGTCGAGGAGCACACAGGAGCAGATATGTTCACGGTATATCAGCTCGAATCAGCTCCGACCTAGGCACCGCCATCTCTCTTCGCGTATTCCTCCTCCATCCGCTCCTCGTACAGGCGGTCGGCCTCCTCCTTGGTCAGAGCGCGACCACTATCAGCATTCTGTGACGCACTAGCTGAGCTACCAGGCGCGGTCCCGAAATAGCTGTTGTTGTTGACGAGTTCGGGGGAAGTGTGTGTAGCAGAGCTGGGAGGTTGTGTGCAGTTGGCTTCGTTTTGTTGCTTGTCAAAGAGGTCGGCACTGGGGACGGGCATCTTGGTTGGGATTGAGACTCTTGGTCGCGATTGCGGTAGTGGGTTTGAAAGAATTAGGTTCAAGCTGTTATGAGTTTGGCTTCAGTAGGATGTCACGGCTGGGTTTTATGCCGGCAAGAGTTGGCCTGCTGCCTCGTCGCCACATGTGTGGCGAAGCGATCGAGTCAGACGTCATGTCAACAAAACGGGGCCGGGAAGTGAGAGTCTAGCAGTTCAGGATTGGGAGCAGGGAACATTGGACACTGAAGGACTGTAGAACGAAGACGAAGTGAATTGAGCTATCATTTACTCATCACGACAGCTGACAGTCACTTGAGGCTTGGTAAGGGGACGTGGCGGTGGACTCCGCATAGCAATCGTACGTGTGGAGCCTGGCATGCATAGGACTGCTTTTCAAGGAAAAAGAATTACGATTACGAGGCAATAGTGGCTACCAGAGTTTAGCGAACTACGATCTACAGTACAGGCCACATCTCATCTCCAACCTCGAGCCACTGGCTCAAAACTTGATGAAAAGAGTTCCACGAATGGAGAGTGCCAAAGAATACGCCTGTCAATGACCACGAAAGCCATTGAACAGACTGTTCCGCCGCGCTGTGCAATGCAGGGACCAATCTGTGGTGAGCTGCCTTTATGATCGCATCCACCCAAACAAGGTAAGTATGAAGAAGAAAAGAAAAGAGGACGAAGAGCCGGACAGGCTGGGGGTATTTATGCAAAATTTTCAAGGCGGTGGCAAATTCCAGAAATCGGTGGCGACTTCTGCTTGGTCAATACGCGAGAGCACGTGATTACATCAACACCCAACCGCATGTGATATGACTCATCCACCGCCCTCCCCAGGGCCCTTTGTGGATTTTTCTGACCTGTCAGGCTAAGGGAATGGCCCTACGGAGTATGTACATCGTATGTTGTAGGTATATTGTGTAACGTGCAGAACACAGGTACCATGCATATGTGCACTAGGATCTAAGTAGATACTGGCGCCAGTGAAATCCCGAACCAGCACACAGACCACAGACATGAATCAATAATTGAAACCTCGTTCGAGACTTGACGGCTCAAAAACAAGCCAGACTCCATACCCAAGCTTGTGTGGATCCTCCCCTATTCCACAACTTTGTATTGTGGCTCTCTCACCTCTCACCTCCCGTACTACACAAAAACCCGAAAGACGTTCGGATCGCAATTTTATTCAGATACTGTCCGCCGGAAGTATACCTTTGTTCAGCATGTTCTACAAGATTGAATTGGGTGAGAAACCCCACATTTAATACATAATATTAAGCAAATGTCCATCCTCATCAAAGTGTGCCATGGTTAAGTTGATCTAGTGGACGCTAGAGTCATCGGGGGGCATCGGAGAGCTTAGATGGACGGGAAATCCGTCCCCTGTGTACACCGCAGGTCAAGTTGGTGCTTGGCGCGGAGTATTAAGATTAATTTACTCCGTAATGCGCTCGGGAGATATGTTCTATCTTTCTCGATAGTGAAGTACCTATGTGGACCTGGCTGTAGTCCTGCTGCTGTGCCACTATATTTTAATTTTGCTTTTTTTTTCCTTACTAAAAACAAAACGGATACGGAGTAGGTATCTGCATCATGTACGGTACAATGTATGTCCCTGGGACAATCACAACTAATCACAACTACTCCGTACATTGTACAGAGTAGTCAGATGGAGCAATATGCATCCCGAAAAAGCGGGAAAGAGTCCCTAAGCGCCCAGGCTCCGCTACGCATGGCACTTGCATGGTGTCAAAATTTAGTCCATACGCCGACAAGAGAGGAGGCAGGATCGACAAGCCCGACTTGAACAATGCTATGATCGTCCATGACCAGTGAATTCCAACCATTAATAGGACGCAGCAGGAGTAGGGATCAGACTCGGGACTTGCGACCGCAAAAAAAGGGTGAAAACGGCAGGGTAAATGGGTTTGCAGGGTCTTAACGGGTGTAAAAGGGGGCCATGAGACGTGTGGCTATCATTACTGAAAATGCTTCGATGGCCACATTCTGGCACCCAGTGTTGGGACCCTCACGGCGGTTGTTCTGATGGCGGTTGTAGATTAGAATCATATCACTTATCTTCTAGGGATATAAAATCATGCCATTAGTATCTACATATGTATTGTTTAGCTGGTAAAAAATAACTGTGTACCAAGGTACTCTCTGTTCTAATGGTCTAAGGTTGGGCTACACTGTCTCGTAGATGAACCGTGGAAATGATGCCAATTAAAAGCGCTTTGATTCACCTGGGCAGAGTTTGTAGGGCTGCCTAGCCCCCTATTCGCTAAGACTCGAAACTAAATGCATAAGTGGGACCGCGTACTTTCTTGATTTTACGGAGTACATATCGTCACAGATGAATCTAGAAAAAAAAAAAGGGTAGCGTACGGGGGTATGTTGTAAAGGGCGAAAAGAAAAGGGGCTTAATTAAGGGCATTATTTTTCAAACCTGTGGATCTGGTTTCTAGTTTTAAATATGTTCTTTTGTGCTATACAATGTAGTATACTTCGAACTCTGTGGATTGGAATTATGATGAGACGATCCTCGCATGGAATGATGCGCTTATCACGTAAAGAGGCAACACTCCGTAAATGTGCTGGGATTGGCTAGACAAAACTATCATGGGATTCTACCCGCAGCGTGGTAAAGATAGTTGATACGCCGATAGGGATGTACATCAAAGCCGGAGCCAAGAAGGAGGGGTTGTGTCACTGCTGGTTGGTTGTCTACGAGTGTTTCCACGCCACTCCATCATAGAGTTGATCTCGGGTCATGGGGTCAGAGTAAAGATTGTACCAGAAAGCCGTGATGGCCAACCATTTTGCAGAACCTAAAGATGAGTGCATAGCCCTGGTAGCCAATACCCTACCCAAGCCATGCGAATGAATGCGACAAAGTTCGTATGTACTGGGCTGATCATCACGAAGGAAGCAAAATGACGGGCTGCCTTGTGGAAGGAGGGGTATGGAGTACAGGGATGCCCCTCCAAAGGGATATTCTCGTCCCGATATGGCCTTTCCGAGGGATGGGGAGCCTTGCAAGCTCGGATCGAGTTGTCGACTATGCGGAGTAATACGAAAGAATCATTGAAACGCTCAGTTGATTTGATAATGAATAGATCATTTCGGTAATTCTGACGGCAACGCCCCCCCCTTGAACTGTGTAACTGGATAGTTGAAAGCGATGATGGAATGGGCGCCAACGGTGTGGCGGGCCCACCGAACAATCATAGAACCTCCCTACGGGTCTAGGAGGTACTTTTTTTTTATAGTCTTATGACCTGATGCTATCCGAGATAACCCCGCCATGACGATTTATTGTTTTTTTTTTTGTATAGAATAGAATGCACATGAAACAAAAGGAAGTGTTACAAGACATAATATCAAATCGGTAAGAGGAGCCGAATGCACGGATTAATTAGGAGAGACAAAACGGGACCGTTGACTCAAGCTGCATGGCCGATCATAGCTTGGGTGGCCATGGTGTGATAGTTTCATACAGTTGAAAGCCAAGGTTTGCAGAGTTTTCCTTCTCCTATTTCCTTGATGTCCAGGAACTAAATTGAGTTAGATCAGGTCTAGCGCCATGCTAGACAAGGAACTTCGTATCTTACGAAGTATCCCGTGGACCTCAGGTATAGACTGGGATATGTTCCACCGGCTATAGAGTTGGTCGTAAACCATATTCCAGCTTACGTGTATGTACATAGTAAATTGGAGATATTGCAAAAGAAAAGGGAGAATAGTTCAAAAAAACGAGTAAAGGTAACAATGATATATAAAAAAAATAGTAGAAAAATAGGATAAAATAAAATTAAATTAAAAAAAAAGAAAATTAAAAAAGAAAAAGGAAAAAAAAGAAAAAAAGAAAATACCATTAACCCCTGAAGTCTATTAGCTAATCGTGTGGGTCCACTGAGCTCTGGGCTCCCTGCAGGTCCTTTCCTTTTTTGGGCGGACGCCATCAACAACCCTCTGACTCTTTTTTTTTCCCTTTTCCTCTCCTCTCCTCTCTTCTTCCTCTCACAAAGCAAAATAACTTACTTCGTGATACCCCGAGCTCTTGTGCTCTAATTTCTTTTGCTTTTCCTTTGAGATACCCTATACCCAACACGCCTTTTTCCACTTACGAAGCTCTGCTTCTTTAATACTCCGTCTATTATTTAATCATGTCCGAAGTCCAGAAGACTGTTGAGGAGACCCCCGCGGTCGTCCCTGCCGTTGAGACTGCTGTTGAGACCCCTGCCACCGAGGCTGCGGTTGAAGCTCCCAAGGAGACCACTGAGGCCGCCGAGCCCACTGCCACTCCCGCTGTTGAGAGCGCCGAGGCCGCCGAGCCTGTGAAGGAGGAAGTGAAGCCCGCTACTGAGGGCGTTTTGGGCTACAAGGCCCCTGGTTTGGTCAAGTAAGTTGCGACTGAGATTACAAATGCGACACGAAGACTAACATGTTCTTTTTTTTTGTTTTGTTTCAGGGGTTTCCGTTTCGCCAAGCGCTTCTTCTACTTCAACGAGGAGGCCGTTGAGAGCAAGCAGCTATCTGTCTTCCACCAGAACGAGAAGGCCGCCGTTGCCAACCCCATCGCCGCCTGGGCCAGCCAGACCGGCAAGGGTCTGCTTTTCTTCACCAAGCGCGCTGAGGACAAGGCCACCCCAGCTGGCATTTTCAACCTCGTAAGTGCTTTGGCGACTGCTGCGATGTGACAACACTAACATGTTCCATAGGCCGATGTCTCTGACGTGACCAAGGAGGGTACCAGCGAGTTCCTCTTCAAGGTTGGTGGCCAGAAGCACACCTTCCAGGCCTCCAGCGCCGCTGAGCGTGACAGCTGGGTTGTCGCCATTGAGGCTCAGGCCACCGAAGCTAAGGCCGAGAAGGAGACCATCATCTCTGGCGAGGGTTACAAAGCTGAGCTCGAGAAGCTGACTAAGCCTGCCGTTGTCGTTGCCGCCGCCAAGAAGCCCGAGGAGAAGAAGGAGGAGACCCCCGCCGTCGCTGCTGAGGCCGCCCAGGAGGAACCCAAGGAGGAAAAGAAGGAGGAGAAGGCTGCCGCCAAGAGCCGTTCTCAGTCTCGCAAGCGCACCAGCATCTTCGGTTCCCTCCTGGGCAAGAAGGACGCCGAGGAGAAGAAGGAGGAGACCCCGGCTGCTGAGGAGACGAAGGCCACTGAGCCTGCTGCTGAGCCCTCGGTTGAAGCTCCTGCCCCCGTCGCTGCTGAGACCACTGAGGCTGCTGCTCCCGCCCCTGTTGAGGTTGCCGAGCCCGCTGCTGAGACCCCCGCTGAGACTACTGAAGTCCCCAAGGAGGAGGCTAAGGACGAGAAGAAGGCTGAGAAGAAGGCCAAGCGTGCTTCCATCTTCGGTAACTTCTTCCAGAAGGTCGCCAGCCCCTCCCAGGAGAAGTCCGAGAAGGAGGCCACCGCCCCTGCCGCCGAGGAGACCCCCGTCGCCAGCACCGCTCCTCAGCTCGAGAACCCTGTCGAGGAGGCCGCTGCCAAGCCCACCGAAACCGAGGCTGTGACTGCCCCCGCTGAGGCTGTTGAGACCCCTGCTGCCGAGACTCCCGCCGCTGAGGCCGTCTCTAGCCCCAAGGAGAAGCGCCGCACTTCCTTCTTCGGCAACCTTGGCATGAAGAAGGAGAAGAAGGCTGACTCTGACAACGAAGTCACCGACGGTGAGGCCAAGGAGACCAAGGCCAAGAAGCTCGGCGGTCTTTTCCGCAAGCCCAGCAAGGCTGTCAAGCTCGACAAGGAGGAGGTTGCTGCCGCTGAGACTGAGGCCAAGGCCGACGCCGCTGAGGAGGCCCCCGCCGTTCCCGCCAAGGAGACTGCCACTGAGGAGGCCCCCGCTGTCGTAGAGGCCCCCAAGGCTGTCGAGACCCCCGAGGAGCCCAAGAACGTCAACGTTGCCGTCGCCACCCCCGTTCAGGCTGCCGCATGAAGTGCGACTGGGAGACCTCTCGTGGAGTTCGAACGGTGGTGGGACATGTCCTATCCATCGCCCGCCCGCGATATCCCTGACGGTCTAATTAAATCCTGAAGGTGCAATTTTGATACCACATCGCTCCAATTGTTTTGTTTTTCCCTCGCCACTGTCGCTTTTTTCAGTATGGCCCACCTTATTTTGGGGCCCGAACTGAGATGGCGACAATGAGATACCCGCTGTCGCTTTTTTTTCCCTTCGATCTCTATTTCTCTAAAATAATACCTCGGCGCCAACCACGCCGACAGTCCTTTGGACTGCGGTTCGTTCCTTTACGACCTGCGTCCCGCGACTGTAACTCTAGTCGTAACGCGACTATGTGTTACGTGGTGTGTCGCCCGACTAGATTGATACCACTCTGCCGATTTTTTGGTTTCTTGATTTTGTGTTTGATACCCTGTGGGGAGGATGGGTGCTCTTTTTGTTTGTTGCTTGAGCTTTGGATCTGGTCTTTTGACTTGTTTCTTCCTGCAACCCAAATTGACCCGTAATGTTGTCTACCGTTATTGTCCCGAACGGCTGGTTTATATTCCGCCCGTGGAGGTGGCACACCTTGCGATAGGTAATACTTAATAGAATCTCTCAGTTTTTGTTTTAAATATATGTTCTGTATCTTATACGTAGTTTTCGCTCGATAATAGTTGAGTGTAGGGTGTGCACGTCAGAATCCCTTCGGGGGGCGCCGAGGTCCTACCTAATCCCTACTGCTTACAAAGTTGGCAGCAGAGCACATGCTCGGAGTAGGTCCATGGTTACGGAGTATGATAATGGGAACTCCCTCTGTTCTCTTTCTTCCCATGTATCTATCCTCGAAAGTCATGTACCATGGCGACTACAGCTACAACTACGATAAAGGTCCTTTCGGTCGAGCCCGAAGCGTCCACCGTCTCGTCCGACCTCCAACTACAGCAACAGCAACAACCAAACCAACCACTACCTACAGTATCCTCGGCACGAACAATTGAGCCCCTCAACATCGAATCTACTACAGACATAGCGGCCACCTATCCAACAGGCACCAAATTTTGGTTCACTATCATTGCACTATGCGTTGTTCTGATCCTCGGAGGCCTAGACGCCAACATTGTCGCTACAGCCGTACCGAGCATCACTAACCACTTCCACACTGTCGCCGACGTGGGATGGTACTCATCCGCATTTCGACTCTGCACCTGTGCGTTCCAATTCGGCTTCGCGAAGCTGTATAAGCTCTTCTCAATCAAGACCATCTTCTTAATAAGCATTGTTATATTCCTCGTCGGCTCTTTACTCTGTGCTACGGCTGCTTCCTCGATTATGTTCATTGTAGGGCGAGCAGTGACGGGTCTGGGGTTCTCGGGTGAACTGGCTGGGTGTTTTGCAGTTATTGTGCACATTCTACCGCTCAACAAGCGACCTGTGTTTGCGGGTTTGATGGCGTGTGTGGAATCGCTTGCTATCATTGCGGCACCTATGGTAGGTGGTGCATTGACGCAGTCTCTGGGGTGGAGATGGTGTTTTTGGTATGTTGTTCTAGTCACAGATATGATCAGGGTTTGTAGCTGGATACTGACTTCTGGGTAGGATCAATCTTCCTATTGGCGGGTTATCGCTGTTGGCTATGTTTTTCCTCTTCTCGGACCCCAGAACCCGTCAAGAGGACGACATGACACTATCTCAGAAAATCAGAGAGCTGGACCTTGTCAGCAACTGCTTGTTCATCCCATCCTTAACAGCACTCTTCGTCGCGCTGTCTTGGGCGGGAACAAAGTATCCCTGGTCAGATGGGAAAGTGATTGCATTGTTCGTTGTATTTGGTGTGTTACTCGCTGCTTTTGTCTTCAATCAATACAGACGCGGAGACTCAGCAGCACTCCCTTTCCGAATTATCAAAAGCCGGAGTGTTATTGCGGGCTTCATCTTCACGACGTGCACTAATTCGATGACGAACGTCTTGGAGTGGTACTTACCAACATACTATCAAGTTGTTCGATCCCGGGTAAGACTTCGTGGCCAATTCGTAACTAAAAAAAAAAAAAACACTGACAATGCTATATCATGCCAGACTCCAAGCGAGAGCGGGTACCTAATGATCCCCATCCTCGTCGGAATGATGCTCGGACTCTTTCTCCAAGGCCTCGGTACCACCACGTTCGGCTACTATGCCCCCTTTATGATCTTCGCCTCTGTGTGCATGCCAATTGCCGCAGGATTAATGACAACATACGATATGCACACATCCCTAACCAAGATAATACTCTGTTCCGGATTCGTTGGCTTCGGCGGTGGCATCGGCTTCCAAGCGCCCCAAGCAGCTGTTCAGACAACGCTAAGCGTCGCAGATGTTAACCTTGGGATTGGGGTCATCTTGTTCGGACAGAGTATGGGTCCGGCGGTTTTTATCGCTATTGCGCAGGTTCTATTCACGAATCAGTTGTCCTCGAGTTTAGCAGATGTTGTGCCAGGCTTAACTCCTAAGTTTATTGAAGAGCACGGACTGGGCGATATCAAGAATGGGGTTCCTATGCAGCGTTGGGATGAGGTCTTGGGTGGTATCGACCGGAGCTTGACTCGTACTTGGTACGTTTCTGTTGCGTTGGCTTGTATGACGATGGTGGGGAGTCTTTTGATTGAATGGCGGTCGGTTAAGCAGAAACAGTTGTGAAGTATGGGCTGGTGGCATGGAAGGAGCGGTCAGATAGGGATATCATATTCGTCCGTACTATATAAGCGTTGGATTTTGAAATATCGTACCTAAGGAAGGAACAGGCTATTGTAATTTGTTCGCACTGTGGGCCAATATATGGCTCAAGTTAAGGACCATGTAGTCTCACGTGCATGGTGTAATATGTATCTTTCGGCCACGTCAGAAAAGATATGACTGCGCAAGGAGCCGCAGTTGGATCTGCTCTTCGAACGACGTAGCTGCTGCGGGCATAGGGTTGAGAAGCTCTGGCCCAATATAGTTAGAGAAATTCCAGACACATATGGGATCTGGGCTCCGCTTAGGCGAAGTGAAAGACCCCGAGTATAAATAACCCTGTTCAACCCTTAGGATTTCTTTCCCAGCACCAAACCCCCAAGAGACAAGAAAAAGGCACAACCTCCCAGTCTTCTATAACTGGTCCTGCATTTAATACTATCTCCAGGCATCGTGTGAGTACTGGTGCTAGACATACTCGCTGTAGCTGACACGGGCAAATTCCAGAAACATGTGTCAGCGACTCATTGAGACGGTCGAGCATAGATGCGGGTGTAGAATCGATTCCCCTGGCAGTGTCATTGAGCTCAACGGTTGCAACAATTGCGGCATAATCAAGAGAACGCAACAAATGGGCAAGATGACTAAGAGAGACCCATGCCCCGATTCTATTGCCAATGGCTTCTGGGTGAAGAGGAATGGAAAGTGGGAGAAGGCTTAGACCGCTACGGAGTACCGATAAGTGAACGAAGATTATGGTAGAGGACCGAAAGCCAATTAACCAAAAGCTGTCACAATAAACTGGCCTCTCACTAGTCTAGTGCGGATTTATTTATCTTGTGAGCTTTTCCGAGCATTATTATCCAGCCGAATTCAAATGAGTAAAGAACAAAATATCTTCAGTATAGTTAAAAGGTTGTTGGCGAATTCATACTATGAGATCTAGTAGTAAGATGTACCCCACCCCTAGCCTCTCCATAATTTCTTCCACACGGTGCAGCATCATTTTAGAGATATGCTTGATAGACAGATCTGGTAGGACTACTGTGAATATTGTAGTGCACTGGAAAATGTCATGTTGCGTTAGGAAAGGAAGAGAATGTTACAACCTGCCCCTGGACTGGCGAGTTACAAACTAGGCTAAAAAGACCACTATATCTGAGCGTTACGCTCAGATAGACTAGGCTCCGATATATATAGTGCATGACATGATAATTTTAGCCCTTTTATCTTTTAGAATCTATCCTTTAGATACTAGATTAAGAAATAGTAGCTAGTATATATTAATATTATTTTTCTTTAAAAGGCCTATTCTTATATAATCTTCTATACTACTTATTATATTTAAATAATATATACTTCTCTATCTCTAGCTTTATTAATTAGACTAGAGAATAGGGATTTAATAGTATATAGATAGTTAATATATATCTCTTTATACTAATACTTAGTAATTCCTTCTAGGTACGAATTCATGGTCAAATTGGATCTTTTTAGGGTTATTTTGTATAAAATCCACTTAATTCCTACCTCTTACTATGATAATATAATAATACTAAAGATATAGGTTGGTACCTACGTAAAATATAGTCATTAATCATCTACTTTATGTATGCCAAGACTATATTTGTGCATAGAAATGGGCTTTTGATAGGCTTTAATGGGCCCCCATTAATAGGCTGTGGGTTGGGCTTTGGGCCGGGGGTCTGGGCCCATTGATGGGCTATGCAGAGGTCTAACCTAGAGAGCATATCACCGCTACTATTCTACTGCTTCATAACTACTCGTCTATCTAAAAGATAGAGATAATAAGTTGATTCTTTTAGAGGTATAGTAACTTTCCTCTTGGGCAGCTCACAGCATACTCCATGACCCGCTCCTAAATTCGCTAGGCCCCAATAGTTGATTCTAGCGACAGCCCATAGAACCTTTATCTAGCCTCCACCGCGATCGGATTGATTTTCTCCTGGTCTTTACACAATGTGATTGCATGGATGAAAAATAGACCGTTTATGAGCCGCGAGCTGTCACTCTTCTATATCGGTACCATTGTCCTGGCGCAGCCATACTGGGCGACCGAGATCTACGCCAACTTCGACTACTTCAACAATATCAATCTCACTGTGTATGAAAAGATTAGGCCTTGGGAGGCAATGTTTCGGTAGAGCGCCCTCTACCCAATGGCTTTGTTGACCTTTACCGTCGACTAACAAATGTTGTATCTAGCGATCCCTGGCGGATTTACACGACCTGTAATCTCTTTTGGGTGGTCAAAAAACACTATAACTTTGGAATAACTAGGCTGGTGCACGAATGTCCACGTTTCGGTCTGATGCTGGGATCAATGTGCCTCTCGATTGTCTTTATCGTTGCCGACGTCCTCAGCGTGACTGGAGCTCTTTCGGCTGCTATGCCCCTGGGCATCAACCCCTGTTGGAAGGTAAGCTCGCCGATAGGCAACATTTAGACAACACTACAAGCACACTGACTAACTAAAGAGTGTTTTCTAGCTGTGCTCTATGTTTAAGTGCCTCTGTGACACTATTATCCTTGACGACTTTAGGATTGCGCTGGACAAGCTTCGTGCTCGATGGATAGTGCGACAGGGAATATAAGGAGTCTATAACTGCCAGTGATTCTTTAAGTTTCGCTACTGCTCAGCTCAAATAGTAGGTAGGAGTGGATACCCCGGCCTCTAAAGTCATCGCGGATAGCGTGACTTTTCCAAATCGAGAGCAAAATCGGCGTCCTGACAGGGGTTTGGAGCCGACCAGGGAGCCACTACTGGATCCCGGGCACCTCTATGATGAACAAAAGGAGGACGCGTCTCCGGACCCCTGCTCTCCGAAGCATGAAATCCCGTGGCTTCTCGCAAGTTCCCATGCTGGAGTTGGGTTTAGGTCAAAATGGAGGAGCTATACTGGTCGATGCACTAGTTCTGGAAGATTGCACGAGAGTTCGATAGGAGTGGCAATGACAACCTCACATTCGAGGAGACAAATGAGGGCGGAGGAAGAAGAAATAAGCAGGCCAAAATGCCGCTCGTTCATATTACTCCGAGGCCAATGGCAGGGCGAAACTAGGACGAAGCTAGAATAACCACAAGGATTCACACCCCAGCATGCTATCACCCGCCTCCATACTATAAACCCTCCATGTTACTGTGTTTCAAATTATATTTTTTGTGGACCATGGGCTACAGCTCCATCGAGGACTTAGTCTGAAGGTTAACGCGGAAGTGTCATATATCTCTGATTGGCTATAGTTACACCGATATTCGTATTCGGAATGTTGACCCTACAGAGAGTTACCAAGTAATATTATTTATAAAACCTCAGCTTTTGAGTGGTCGAAATACTCTTATGGGCAGGATAATTAAGTGCAGCGGGATGCTGACGCAGTTGCTGATGAGAGGATCTTTTCTAGAGTAGTGGCCCTGGTGACTATCTTCTAACCCTATATCTATCATATTTTCTGGTAGACAAAGATTAGAGTTCTCCGAAGAAATCGTAGACTCCAAGACTGCTATTAGAGTATATTTAGAATTACTATCACCTTGTTAGATATCTACTATCTAGAAGAATAATCTCTGAGTAGTAAAAGACAGAAAACTATTATTTGCCGGCAAAAGAATAATATAATAGTGTCATTTAACCAATTAAACTTTTGTTCTAAAGACATTATCCCGATAGAGATTGGGGGAGTCTAGTGAATATCTAATGTCTAAGGACTAGAAGCGACTAGCTCAGATATAAAAATAGCTATATCGGGTCGGAATATCCAAGAATTGTTTTTCCTACAGCAGTAAATCCTTACTGTATCTACCTCACAATAGTCTATCTTATAAAGGCTTTTGTGGTAGGTATTATGGCGGGTATCGCACATACCTTCAGTTATAACTAGCCCTACTGTAGCCAATACTATTTTTCACACTAGGAGAATTGGATAAATAGGATCTATCTGTTCTTTCACTACAACTGGGGCCTTAAACGACTGCGGGGGTGTGTGGTATGTTCTCCAAAAGGCCCTATTCTAGAAAAGGGTAGTCTAGACCGTCTGGTATACTGAGGCAAACAACCTCAATTAAACTTTGATGCAACCATTGGCTGTTCTTCCTTGGAAAAGGTGTATTTCCGAACTTTCCCCGGAAACCCCATACATGCAAGGCAGATGCCGAACAGAAGATCGCTCAACGGAATCCATCGGTTTTTGCGGCATTTTACGCCCAACATTGCCGTTAGCTTCGTAGGCTTATGATCGGCAGGTGATGGGTTTACAATTTGCTGCAACCTTTAACCACAAGCAGCAATATGCCCGAAGCACCACAATGATCTTTACATAAAATTTTATCATTGTAAATTAAGGCTGTAGAGAATGTTTTCCATATATTGGTTAGTTCACTTCCTCCAGCCTTGATATTTAATATTCAAAGGTTCATAGAATTCCCCCTACGCCGTATTAAGCGACCTCATCTTGTGAAGAGGTGGCTAGGCCACTAAACCAGACAAGCATATCGGTAATAAAAATTATTTTAACTTTCTTGGCAGGGTCTACGTCTGGGGTAGAATCCTCTTCAGAGACCTATAATGACCTTTGATTGGATCAAACTAGAATGGAATTCAACTTGAAGATGGAGGCTAGTGAAACGAATGACATCGGCAAAAGTACTCAGGGAGATGGGAAGGAACATGCTACACCCACCACACCCTGGACCCCTCCCCACCAAAAGATGACGATATTATTTGGCTATATTTCTCCGAGTCGTTTGGGAGGAGGGGTATTTATACCTTGCTTTCCTATCAGTCCTGCATCTTCACACCCTTCATTCGCGATCGCTTGTACTTAACACTCATCTATCATTACTACGTTGCTTTGCTTCGTTGCACTCTTCGCAAAGATGCTGGCATTCCGTGGTTTTTCATTGCTATCACTCGCCTTGTTTGCCAGTATAGCCCCACTTGCTGCCAGCCAAGCCCGGCCTAGCTATCACATCACCCCCGAAACGAAATGGATGAATGACCCCCAACGTCCGTTCTTCCTCGGGGGTGAATGGCATTTCTATTACCTTTACAATTCCGACTTTGACATCTCAAATCCCGGTTCAGGCGGGACAGAATGGTATCATGTCACGAGCACCGACATGGTAAACTGGACCCGCAAGGGTGTAGCGATCGAGAAATACAAACCCAATCCTCCTAACGGCGTGAACCTGGGCGATATCGAAACTGGCAGCGCCGTAGTGGATACGGACAACAAGGCTGGCTTTGGCAAAAATGCAGTCGTGGCCATTGTCACACAGATGGCGGATGGGGTGCAACAACAGTCTCTCTTCTATTCAACCGACAATGGCGACAGCTTCGCCCCTTACAAGGGCAATCCTGTACTGCCAAACCCAGATCCGGCCGTGAAACCCGCATTTCGAGACCCCAAGATCTTTTGGGATGGCGAAGCAGGCAATTGGACCATGTCTCTCGCGGAGGGTGCCAAGATTGGTTTCTATACCTCCCCAGATCTCAAGACCTGGAAGTATACATCCTCGTTCACTCCTAACACTGGTGTCAACCTGGACCCTCTCGAGTGCCCAGACCTATATCAGATCGACCTAGACGGGGAGTCTAAGGAGCGCACCTGGATCCTGGCTGCAGGCGCGAAAGGAAGCACCGTGTATTGGATCGGGAAATGGGACGGCAATGACTTCACAGCCACAGACGCGAAGCCGCAACTGATGGATGACGGGCCTGACTTCTACGCCACAGTCAGCTGGGATAACCCAGAAGATACATACGGCAGTCGCTATGCAATTGCCTGGATGAATAACTGGGAGTACGCAAATTCGCTACCTTATTACGGCAACTTTGCTGGTCAGACCAGTATGGTCCGAGAGGTTAAACTCAAGACCATCAATAATTCTCCTACCCTGGTTAGCAGCCCAATAGTAGGGTATGAAGGAATTTTTGGCTCTGCCAAATCCGTGAGTAAGCAGACCATTACAACGGATCCGAAATCTGCATCTCTGCCCAGCGACCTAACCGAATATGCGTACGTTATCCGCGCAACGATCTCCAAGACAGACGGTGATGACGGCAACGAAGTCCGCTTTCGCATCAAATCCGACGGGTCTTTTAGCACGACCGTTGGTTATAACTTCAAGCAGTCCCAAGCGTTTTTGGTGAGGGATCACGACGGTTCCGCGACAGATTCCATGCCATCGGATCCGAAGAAGGCATACGACACTATAGCTACGGCACCGAATCCTTCGGGAGGCAACACGGTCAAGCTGCAGATATATGTGGATTCGAACTCGGTGGAGGTGTTTGTGGATGATGGTGTGGCTGTGCTATCGGGGCTCATTTATCCGAATACAGCGGCGGAGGGGGTTCTGGTTGTGTCCGATACGGGAAGCTTGACGTTGGTGTCGTTTAGTTATGCTGGGTATAAGGGGTAGCTTCTAGCTATGTCCGATACATGAAGCTGGACGTTGGTGTCGTTTAGTTATGCTGGGCATGTGGTGCAGTTTCTAACTCTGTGTACAATGTCTATCCACTATGTGCTGGAGAATGGTCAGAGCAGAAACTAGTCAAGTTGTTGTGCCACCAGATTGAGCTAATGGGAATGAAAATTAATCTATTAGTAAGATTACGTATAGTACCTAATACCTAGGCAACCATAGGTCCTCGAGGGAAAAGAGAAACTATAATTATACTCAGTAAAAGTATAACCCGCCCTAAACGAGACCTACTACTAGAGGATTTTCTATACATATCTAATTATCTATACTAGATAATATCTACTATAATAACTACTTAGTTAAGTACTACGGACTATATAACCGTAACTCCCGCGTCGACTCTAGAAGTATACGTAGGAGTATATGAGATCCTCGCTAGCCACTACTCCAAGCGTTTCCTCATTAAGCCAAAAAGGCATAGCCAAACTGAGTTCTAGAACTCAGTTTAACTGCAGTGGTATATATATAGGTGTCCCACATGTAGACCTCTGCATAGCCCATAAAGCCCATAGCCCAACCCAACCCAACCCACTAATGGGTTGGGCTTTGGGCCCACCTTTCGAGCTCATCGGCCGGCTATGGGCCCATCCACCGAGCCCATAGGGCCCATTGGGGCCTATAATAGGCCCCCATTATTAACCAAACAATATAAATATGCCAATTTATCGTAGCTGTATAATTAATGCATTTTTTTTCCTGTTTTTGGGGGTATTGAAATTACCGCTTAAGCCGTATATAAAGCTATATATAAATCACTTATAAATTAACTAATAGGACTGATTGATTTGATTTTTTTATAAGATATCAAGTAATAGATACTAGAAGGCCGAAAAATAAGAATTAAAATTGATTCTTATAAAGCTTTACTTTTTTATAAGAGGTACTTATTTTTATTTTTATTAAGGGTTTATATAGTAAGTAGAGGTACAATAAGTATTACTATATTTAACTATAGAAAGTGGTATCAATCCTCTGTAGATAATATATATCTCTTTATGCTAATACTTAGTAATTCCTTCTAGGTGCGAATTCATGGTCAAATTGGATCTTTTTGGGGTTATTTTGTATGAAATTTTGTATGAAATCTAGTAGCATGATGCTAAAATC